GAGACCTAGAGAAATGGCTGGAGGATGCCACAATACACTGCCAGCTCCTCCCCTGCTTCCACCCTCACTGTGGTAGCCTCAATCTGTGCCCCCACCCCCGCCGCTGCATGCCCATTCTCCCCCGCAGATTTATCAGCCAGATGCTGCTCGCCAAACTGCCTGGCTGCATATCAGCAATCGGATTGGTATTGGCCCAAAAAATCTTTCGGTGCACCCTCACCCCCTAATGCTTGTGTTGGGAGCTGATGACATGTGGCTTGCAGACTGAATCTGGCCCTTGACACCACAGGGCTTTGTCTGTACCCATGTCCATGTTCATGCTGGGTTTGAGCAGAGGAGATGCATCAGGGCCAGGGAGCTGGCAATGGTGCCCATTCTGCTACAGTTTTTCCCTGTGCACCGCCTCTTCCCAGGTTGCAGTAGTAGTGTGGAAGCAGCTTCCAGCTCTCACGCAGCTCCCTTCCAGCTGGAAGCTGTGCTTGTACCACTGTTGGGGAGCAGGGAAGCTGGGAGAACTGTGGCAGTACAGGTATAGCTCCCAGCTGTGTGGTTCCAGTCAGGGTGCAGGGAAAGCCCCTCTGCCACACCTGCACCCCAAAAGTCACCCAGCCTGCATTGGACCAGAGCTGGGTTGTTCTGGCCTCTGGCCTAAAGCTCTGTTTCCAGCTGTTCTATTGGTAACAGGTGAGGTTTCTGATGCTCTCTGCATTTGTTGTAAACGTAATGTGAAGTTAACCTTTTAACTCATGTTAGCTTATCCTGCTGCTTAGCTTGAGGGAACTCCTACCAAAATATAAGTAGGATACCGACTGCTTAGAAAATTAGGTAACCAGTATTTACCTGAAAGAGGCTCTTCTGTGTCACTTAGAAGTTAATTCTCCAGAGAGCTATTGCTTCAGCATTTGACCGCTGATCAGAACAAGAAACCTTATCTTCTTTTTCTAAAATTTGTTTGTGTACTCTTGGAAAATTTGCCAGTTAGAATGCTAATACCTATACATCTAAAATAGAGATGTTGCGGATGTTTATGATATCATGTATATAAATGAACAATTGGATATATAACTATTTGAGAGAAGTTCATGAGTAATTGTTTTTATACGGAAAACAAGCAGATATTTTCATAAACTTGTTAACAGCTGTAGCCACATAGGTGAGAAACATCTAGTAAAGTAAAAGTAGTGAAGATATAGGTAAAGGATTTAATATGTAGAAAGTAAGGAAAACAGTTGGAATACTAAACAGCAAGAAGACAGTGGATTCAGAAGAGACCAGATATGGCAGTGAAGTGCTAAAGATTAACTGTGATTTCGAGTGAGGGGGTAAGGTAGTTTAAGAGGCAGGTAAAGGAAGGATTTCAGTACATATACCTATATTTCACTTTCCTAGATACAGTTAGGAACTTCCCTAATTTGCAGTGAGATGAGGCAATTTCACAGCCCAGTCAGTACGAAGAGCTGATTTTTGCAGGCATTTCACAGTGGCCCCTTCCCTTGGTCCTGATTGGCCAAGAGGCCCCAGGGAAGGGGATTTTGGAGTAGCCACCATCTTGACTGCTGGCTGCCCTTTGAGAAGCCTTGCCCCTTCAGTGCTGATTGGCAGAAAGGCACAAGGGGGCTACTGTCCTTCCTGTTGCCCTGGCAGCCAGCACCTTCCCCTCCCAGGTGGTCTGCAAGGCTGGGCTTCAGTGGCACCAAGGACTGCTGGCTCCTACTGGGGAAGCTAATATTTAATTTTTATTAAGTTTATTATTATATTTATTTATTATTTAGCTTTATTTTCTAGGAGCTTGTGGCCAATGCCATTTTTTGCGGAGATCACTGTTTTTCATGGCTTCCATGAAAATCGCAAAATCACGGTTTAAATAGGTCTCTAGATATAATCCAAGCTAGTCTTATCTTAATGATGATTGTATGTCAAGCGATAATTATAAGTGATTGATTTAAGCCATATACTCCTCTCTGGTTTTGGGAACATCTAGTCCAGTCTGTGTTCCATTTCATTTCTAATGTTTTATTGAGCCATATTTGTAATTGAAGGGTTTTCTTTTTCATTGTTAGCTTTCCATTCAGAAAATAGTTGCAGGCTTGGAGTATTTCTGCAAACAGGCTGTTGTCTTTGAGTAAATATATGTAGATTTTTTAAAACATGACTGATTTTAAATGTTTGGGCAACCCGCAAAAGCGTTTGCTTCCTCTTTAATCACATTCTAGTTGTTATAAGTTAGGATTTGAAGTTCTTTTTTCCTCAACTCTTATAGAGTTGAAGTGTAAGGTTGGTTTGTACTGGACTTCTCTCCATAATGGTGAAGTAGTGGTCTGTGCATCTTGGATCTCTGAAACTCAGTCCATGTTTCCCTTTGGGTACTGTGATTATTGTACAAAAAAATTCTTTGTGGCTGCTTCTGCTTCATATTCATTCCCTTGGTTGGTCCTGGTCCTGGTGCTGGTCTGCAGGGAGGTGTGGCTGTAGATATTTATAAAAATATGACTTTTGAAGTGCATACTGCTAACTGAGTTTAAAAATTTAAAAATCTGTAAGAGCTGACTCACCTGGGTTAGTTTCTTCTGTGTATGTCTGTAGAGTCAGACAAGATGCTGGGAGCATATTTGGAATATTAGAAATGCCTACTAGATGAGATGAGGAACTTTGACATTCCCCCTCTCATTTCAAAGTACTTAAAGGTGACTTTAGACATTCTCTGGTTTGAATTTCTTTTGGTCTTAAATTGAGCAGACCAATATTGATTGACCTTTTCCTTATACATCCAGGTTTTATGGTATTTAATGGTTAGCTGCTTGGATATTTTAGGTAGTGTCTGATGTCCTAAAGAAGTCTATTGGCTGCTGTGTTGTAGAAACTTGCTGTTTTGATTCTTCTCTTGGAAGGAGGAAGGCCTAGAAATCCTCTTTTGTTTTTGTGTTGCTTTCATTAGGCATATCCCAATATTACCATTCAGTTCTGCTCTAACATGCAACTGTATAAATGCCACCCTCTTCTGCAACTGGCCCTTGTCTGTATTTAGTTGTCTGCTTAATTTGAAAATGTGTACATTTTATTTTTTTAAATCTTCCAATACCTATACAACTACAGAATAAGTAGAGTTCAACTCGGCGCTTCAGGTGCCCCCCTGCTGCCCCTGCTGCTCCCCCCCCAAGCACTTCTAAATTGTTAGTCATAGTAAAGGTTATTAGGTCCTTAGTTAAACGTTGTTTGTGTGTTTGGGAGTCCTTTGCAAAATATTCAGGTGCTCTTTTTTTTTTTTAAGGGAAAAAATCAGTCTCAGCAGTTATCCTATAATGGGGAGCAACTGTGCTGCAGTAACCCAAAATGTTTGCATTGCAATGGCGTGTTTAGGAGGGAGGAGGTCCTCCGCTAAGAACAAATGTAAGTTTTACAGCACCTGATACCTTCTAATTGTTATATCTCCATGAGCCTGTATGGGTAAGACAAGGGTGGCCAAACTTTTGGTAGGCATGCTACAAGTTAAACCTCTGCCCCTTTCCCAAGTGCTGCTCTGCTGACTCCCACTCCTCTGAGATGTATCTGATAGAGGGCACTTGACTAGAGACAGTGAGGCTAAAGCATCTAACCATGGGGAGTGGAGTTGAGGCAGGACACTGCTGAGAGAGAAATGTCAGCGCTGCAGTTTTATGGAGAGCGAGGATACAAAGCCTGAATTGCATGCTGCGTGCAAAGCCAGGGGAGGTTAACCTGACTCTTGGCAGCGACACCTGACACCCGTCTAACAGTATCCTGCCTTTTCTCTTCTCCATGGCTGGAGGTACTAGCCCTCCTGCCCCCATTTTGGTGCCTCCCTTTTACTGAGTGTTTGTGTGCTACACACAGCTGCTGTCTGTGCTATTTGTCATATGTATGACACAGTTTGGCCACCCCAGGGTAAAAGTTAGCTAAATGGTTATAATTTTTTGACCCTGAATGGAGCAGGGTTAAAGTTGGAGCAGTTTTCCTACACTTGAATTGCTCCGTAATTAATAGCTTCTGTTGTATTACTATCAAAGGATACCCATTCAGTTAAGTCTGTCTATACACTTTGTAGGGAGATGTTCTTAAGTGTTGAAAATCCAAGCAGAATTCTGGAATTTGATAGTTGTCATGTGAAATTAAGTCTTGAAGTTGGTTAATTCTTTTTATTATTATTCTAGTAATTGCTCTTCCAGCTTCAAAGGGACACTGATCATTTGTATCATAAAACATTTTCTCAGTCTTACAGAAAATATTTATATGAGAATTTTAAAAATCTAGCTCTTCAGAGTTAATGTAGTTTATCCAATATGAGAAACATGCACATAGAAAAGAATGAAAATTATTAAAGATTCACTCTCTGGTTCTGAATACTGCATTGCTCAGTTTGCTGATATTAGTGGGGAATGTTTGTTTTTGGCTGGGGGGTTAAGTGTTTTCCTATTAAGACCATTTAAAAATCTTAGAAAATTAAAACAATTATGCTCTTCAACCTGGTAATTAAGACTGTAAATATACACAGCAATTATGTTTTTTTTTGTCTTTAAAAGCGCATATGAAACTTGGGGCATTTATAGATATGCTATGGGAGTGGTGGTGGTGGGGCACTATAATTAGAGCAGTATCGAAAGCTGCTCTACTTAAAGCATCTGGAGCATCACATGCATCAGCATCCCTGCACTGAAAAATGGTGGCAGGGGTGCTTTAACTAAAGCTTGTTGAACAAGCTTTGGATAAAGTGCCCTCAATGCCATTTTTCAGCACGGGACACTGATACACATGATGCTGGAGTCTGCTGGAGCATTGTAATTGTTATGCTTTAGCAGACTCTATCAGTGTCATTATAGTGCATCAGAGCAGCCTTGCTACATGTGTACAGGCAGTCCTCAACTTAAGATATTTTGAGTTGCAAAGAATGGCACTTGCAACATTTAAAGTTGACAGCCTGTTTCAACTTTCTGATGTCAGTTTCAACTTTACATTGCTTGATCTGATGCCGTGCCAGTGAACAAGTCTGCTGTGTCACCCATCTCCCTGGAGAACATCTGTCCAAGCTTCCTTGGATAGTTTCTTTAAGAAAGCAGACAAGACTCCAGAAAAACCAGCCGTCAAAACTCCTGAGAAGACTCCAGCCAAGAACTTTTCAAAAAGTCCAGCAAAGTCGCTTCAAATAAGTCCTTCCAAATCAATATGATTGCTATTTACAATATGAATACATTAATGTAGCTATATTACTCATCTGTAATTGATTGAGTACCAAATTCTGAGTTATTTTGGTGAAAATAGGGTATTGGTTCAGGAACCAGTCACCCATTTATAACATTGTTCCTATGGGAAAATCGGTTCCGAGTTGCAACGTTTTGACTTAAGAAGTGGTTTTCAGGAACTAATTGTGTGGTAAGTCCTAGGACCACCTGTATAGGTGCTCTTGGTCTCTCAACCAATTACTCACTTTTGTGTTTTGTGCTGTGCTTGTTTAGGAACATACTTTTATTTTGTAGTCTTTAGGAAAGACAGTAAATGTTGGTTTGTGCTGAGACCAGGTACCACACAAAGTTTCCTGTCAGATGCATGATATTTTATTGAACTAGACCGGAAATTGCAAATTACAGAGTTGAGGTCAGTAATTACTGAGGTTAAGTGAGAGGAACAAGTGCCCAAAATCTTTGAACAGATTTACAGACTCTTTCATATATATTGTCCTGTTTATTTGCCAGCCATTTTACCTGTTTTGTAGACTTATAATTTCCAAACACTTAAAGCAGAATCTTATCTTGATTAAAGCAGGAACCTCATATTTTACCTTTTGTTCTTTGTTCTTTCAGAAACAAGATCGCCATGGCCACAGAAATCGGCTCTCCACCCCGGTTTTTCCATATGCCGAGGTTCCAGCATCAGGCACCTCGGCAGCTGTTTTATAAGAGACCTGATTTTGCACAGCAACAAGCGATGCAGCAACTCACCTTTGATGGGAAACGGATGAGAAAAGCTGTTAACAGAAAAACCATAGACTATAATCCCTCTGTAATTAAATATTTGGAGGTATGTCCTGTTCGTTTACTGTACTTACGTCTGAATAGTTATTTCCTGAAACAGAGTATTCAAGTTTCAGATTGCTAGAGAGCAGTTTGAATAATTGAATATTATTCATACTATGCTGTAGCTGCACTCAAGCTTATAAATGTTGTAATTCAGTATGGATAAAAGAGAGGTCATTCTGTCTGAATCAAATTACCAGGGGTACATATTTTTAGTAGGCTGCAGAAAACTGTATATGCTGTTACATAATGGTTTTCTTTGAATTTTTGTTCAGAAAAGAAATAACATGCTGGATTTTGACAGTCAAGATGATGTACATTTAGGGTAATGTAATGAATGTTATCAGTCTGTCAACTTCTGTTTTTTTATTGGGTGAAGAATTTTTTTTTAAAAAATGCGCAACAGAAAAATAATTGTCACTTTTTATTAGGTTGCTTCCATGAGTGAAAAGTTACAGTACTGATCATACTACAAGTAGTACCTGAAGCAACTTCATGCAGTCTTAATGTCTGTGAAGCTGCTTTGAACCAAGTTACGTTGATGAAATCTTTGCAAGAGGAAATGCTCATTTGGCTTTCCAAATAACATAGCGGTCTTACCTTGTAATAAAACTACAAGTTTTTGCTACATTCATGGCTCAAAGGATATATTCTGTGATAAAAATCTAAATGATTAAAAATAGAAATATGTATTGTGAATGCTGACAAGCTTAATTGCAAAAGTTACGTTATAACAACTTGGATGTCTGTCATTGTAGACAGCCTACAGTTGTAACTGTGGGAAGATATTTTAACTGTTATATTTAAAACATTCACGGAGGAGCTAATGATGTTATAGTAGTGTTCCTGTAAGTTTCTTTTGACAGACCACAATTTAAAAAAACTCCAGCAAAAAGAGAAACAGTTTGTGTAATCTGTGTCACCTTTTTTAGCTGTGCAAAAATATATTGATCTAGAAATTTGTAGATTTTTTTTTAATTGGATTGCAAACTATATTTTAGTTTTAAATATTTTTAAGGTTACTGCATTTTGAAAAAGGTTACTGTACCAATTTGTAACTTTTAGATCCAGATTTTGTAGCTGTCATTATAGTGTTACACTTGTGTGGAAAATTAGTTATTTACATTTTAACTTCAACTTAAGATCATTAATTCACAATCAAAGTTGGATTGAACCTACCTCAAGTTAAGTAGGGTGATCCTTTATTTAGCCAGCCTGTAGATAATGTCCCGTTTAATAATTAGATATGCTGGTGATGGTTGCTTTAAAAATACTTTTGTTTTTATGGGTTTTTTTGCCTCCTGGCCTTTTGAAGCTCTACCCATCTGAGTACACTGTCTGCTCTCAATACTCTGATCACAAAAGCATCCCTTTCAGTCAGGTATCATTGGAAGGGGACTCCCTTAAGGCCAGGGACGGAAGTTGCACATAAACTGGTATAAGTGATCAGAAACCGGTTCAACGCTGTAACACAACAGAAGTTCAGTGCACATAAAACCACTTTCAGAATGACTGAAACCAGTTTAAGATAAAACTGATTTAACTTAAATTAGGTAAGTGATACTACATCCATCCAGGTTTATTGAACTTCTGTCCCAGATCCCTTCCAGATTTAAGTTAACTCTCAGTCTCCCAGCATCCCAGGAGGTTTTGCACTTCCCTCGCATCACCTGCTCCACCCCCACAGGGTGGGCAGGCTTTGGCTCAAGCTGTTTGCTCCAACCCAGCAGGGAGGCATGCTTTAGCGCCCCCCCCCCCCCCCCTTTTGGCCCGGGCTACTCCAGGCGTGGGGCTGCCTTTCCAGAAAAAAAAA